AAACGTTTGAGAAACGAAAGACCGACTCTCCCCCGAGTCAAATAAAACCAAAGCAGGCCAGGACTTTACTAAAACCGTACCAAAGCACATGTACCACATATAAGCATAACATAGATATAATAAACGAGGTAAAGGAGAGATACATACCAGCAACCACATCCGGTGCTGCTCTAGCCTCCTCTGCCGTAAGCTGGAAAGCACGCCCCTGAGACTTTGGAGGTTCGGCCTTAACAGTGGTAGCATAACCTCATACCTGATCACAGTGGTAGCATAACCTCATACCCGAAACCGAGGTGCCTTGGCGGCAATCCTTCACATAATGCCCCTCCTTGCCTCACCTGTGGCACCCGCTACCCGCTTGACACACTCCAGAATGACTCCTACCGCACTTCCCACATGTTCGGCTCTGCTGACCCCCAACCCTAGAATCAACGGTCATAGACCGCTTCGGCTCCGTCTGAGACTGTGCCAAGGCCAGACGCTGCTCACTCAACTGCAGCTCGATCTCAACTCACGCCACCTAGAAGCCTCCTGCAACTCCAACATAATATCACATCGATGGGTAGACACAATTTGACAGATGCCAGTCTTGAGCATGCTCAGATTACAAGTCATATGAGCTTGCTCGAAAGCAAACTCTAGGCAGAACATTGCCCTCTCTGTGAACATACGGGTGATCTCCATTACCGACTCTCCATCTTGTCTCAAACTCAAAAACTCCTGAGCCAACCGCTCCTGCTCCACCCGTGGAACATAGCGGGTGTGAGACATCTCCATGAACTACTCCCAAGTAACAACAGCTCTCTGATCATCAGTGTACAATCTAGTCGTCACTCTCCACCAATCTTTGGCTCTTAGCCTAAACAGGTTCAGGGCACATCTGACCTTCTGGTCAGTAGGACATGAACACATGAAGAAACAGCCCTCCACGTCAGACAACCACCTCGTAGCTCTAATCGCATCATGTGTACCATCAAACGTTAGGGGCTTCGTGTTATCGAAGTCCCGGTACTGGAAACCCCCTCCAACTCCATCTCCTCTTGCCGCTGTTAAAGCTAATGCAGCTACGACGACAGCTGTAACATCCGTGTTTCTGGGCTTGTCATTAATAGAAATGTAATAGTCTAGGTTAACCTTTGTAACCCATTTTGAAATATTAAGAATGTATTATTTGAGTATTATGTGTTTTGTGCTTAATTGTATGATTTAAATGAATTAAGGATAAAAATATGAGTTAAAAAGAAATATTAGATAAGCCTGATATCGATACATGAAGACGTAGTGGTCGTAACGAGCTTTCCGAATATATATATATATATATATATATATATATATATATATATATATAGAGAGAGAGAGAGAGAGAGAGAGAATGATAGAATTCGAGTTATAACGAAGAAGTTATAACCTGTCGAAGTTTCGCGATAGAACCGATATGCCACAGCGCGACGTAAATAGTGAATTTACGATAAAGCGATATTTAGCCTTAGTGATGTAAATGAAAGTCGTAGAATACGTTAAACTGAGAGCGTGCATAAAAAGAACGCCCAAATCTGACTTCGTATGAG